AAGGGGAGTGATTCTTACATGCAACAGGGAGTACTTAAAGACATACAGGTGCATTATTTATGTGTAGTTTCTGTTCAATTAATATTTTTTGCTTATTTTTTATGAAAATTTTAAATGAACAAAAAAAAAAATATATAGATAATAATGAGCAAAAATTTATCCTTGAGTGTACCTTTCTTTATGTGCACTTGGGTGCATAAAAACCTATTTCCACTTATTAGATTTAGGAAACTTTTGTATAAGTATATAAGAGTAGAATCTATCCAAAAGTATTCATTTTTCCCCTAGCTAGTTGGGCTATCATCAAAATATGGAGCCATACTTCCAAACATGTATCCTAGTCATTTTCTCTTTCATCATCGTGTTTCTATGTTGTTTGGAGCATGCTTGGATTGAGGGTATAAATGGAGATGATGTTAAAAATTGGATTATTGTGTTATGTATTATACTCTTTTGCTTTCATATTGGATTTGTCTTAGCATGCTTGTTGTAGTATGTCAATTATACATAAATTAATTAATACATTAATTATTTCATAATTATTATGTTGTACTTGTATTTGTTTTGTTGTGCTTATTATTTAGACATAATACTTGACAATAGTATTAGAGCTTGTTGTTAATAATTATAAGCATTAATCTCATTATCTATCTCCCCCACCCCCACCAAAACCAAAAAAAAAAAAAAAAAAAAAAAAAAAAAAAAAAAAAAAAAAAATTATTATCTATAATCAAGGATGACAGAGAGTGAGGGATCGAGGATAGCTCAAGTGGTTAGAGCTTTCTTCCGAATCCGAGGAATTTTGGGATCGATTCTCATCATCCGCCCTTGTTTCTTGGCTCTCTAAACAACAACAACAACAACAAAAAAAAAAAAAAAAAAAAAGAAAGTCAAGGATGACAAAGAATTTGAGTCACATCTATGTCATTTAACCTTTTTTACAAAAGAAGATAAACTATGCACTAAATTTCAACATCAAAACACTTCAATTCATCTTAATTGCTTCTCATGTCACAAGCCAAAGTGGGATCATAAATGGAGACGCCAAGTCAAGTGGGGCCCACAACATAGGTTTGTAAATTGTGAAGTTCATGAGTTTTGTCCTCCTTTTACCTTTGATGATCACGTGTTTCCTGTAGTGGGAAAAGTATGTTTGTTTACACAAGAAGAAGCAACCAATTATGAGCTAGAAGAGTGAATTGAAGGGTAGTTTTCCACTTAAATGATGATGATTGAATTGAATTGAATTGAATTGAATGGGTTAAATATGACTTAAACTTTGTGTTTGTTGTAACCGTGAAGGTAACACAAACTCTTATGTTATGTTTTAAAGAAAGTTAATATAATGGGTGGATATATAGTGGATACCCCCCACACTTCACTAGTGAATTCACAGTTGATAAGAAGGTGCCTTTTATTTCATTTGTCACTTTATTTTGGGGTACTTATTAATTATGATGTGCCAAATGTTGTTCTATCTTGTATTGTCAATTTGTGGATCATTCAGGATTGTTGTCATTCATCTCATTATTAACATATTAAACTATATAAGTGTGTAATGAATTGGAAGCTTTGATCTTATCATAGTACACTAATGGTAGTAGATTTGGCCAAAACTGATAATTGATCTAAAGTTATTCTGTAAAATTGTACTTGAAAATGCATGTCTTTCATTTTGCTAAATTTAGTTAAAATAGATTTATTTAAATTAAAAGTAAAATGTATTCGGCACATTCTATGTAGACATGCATTGTTGCATGTTGCCAGAGGAAGGGTGCTACATATCTAAAAATCTTGGATCCACCATGTTAACTAAGGAAACTTTGAAAGACATTCTAATTGTAAATTTGTAACTGAGTGTTTATGTTGGAGAATATAGACAAATAATGTTTTCAAGTGTAACATTTCTTACCATTTGTAGGTCTAGAGCTAGAATTACAAAGATGAGGGAGAGGTAGTAGCCAGATAATATAGACATATAGTTGCATTTATAGTCCCTATTTTTGAGGATATGTTGGTGCAATACGAGTCACAGTGAGAGTTCATAATATAATCCTCATGGTATGTTGGAATTCTTGGAAACGACAAAATTGTGGCTCCTCATGTTTAATAATTGTATCAATATACCCCGTATAGTATTATTATGTATTACATTATCATTATACTAATTGATAGAATATAAAACATATTCTTGGGTCTCAACTATTAGATTAAACTTTTAGTTGAGTTGGTCCTTTAACATAGTATCAGAGTCAGCGTGACAAAAAGGTTATGGGTACGAATCTCATCCACCTCCCACTTTTAAGTGGAATATTAAGCACAGGGTATAAGGAGGGTTCATGCTGCATCCACATTTCAAGCCCAACGGGCTCTTGTGTGAGAGGGCGTGATAGGTATAAAATATATTCATGCGCCTCAACCATCAGTTTAAGCTTTTAGTTGTGTTAGTCCTCTAACACTAATTTTTTATAGAAATGATTTTTAAAATAAAGTATCACGAGTATTAGATATGTAGATTGAGCCTTGTGTGCTCAAGTCCATAATTTTCTTTGTAATGGTCACATGTGTATTCTCAAATGAAGGGGAAAGAAAATTTGTGTTAGACAACAAAATAGCACACATATTGGAAACAAGTATTGCATGAAGTTGGCTTTCATATGTCTAGATGTTTCTAACAATGCGTATGAGTGAGGGTAATTTAACATGTGTCGGAATAACTTGTGTCAAATATTAGGCTTAAGTGATAATCAGACCTACCCTAATTAAGGAGAGGTGTTACACGTGAGTACTTAATTAGTTGGGAAAATTATGGGGGAATGCACCTGAATATATCAATTAATAGTTTTTAAGATGTGCATTAATATTTCGTGACAATCGGTTCCACCCTAATAAAGGATTAGGGTGGTACACCTTGTGTAATATAAATAAATATTCTCTATCAAATGTTATATTCGGGTTATTTAAATATATATTAGAAGAAAGTCGTAATCACACACCTAGACTTCTAAAATTTTCATCTTAATCCAATTGATAGTAGCCTAGTAGGTATAGTCGTTTACTACTTATATGTTAATACTCGTTTGATGTGAAGTAATAGAACCAATCGTTGGATCAACCCTGGTGATCACGACTTCCCTTACTAGTACTAGCTCTAAGGCTATGTTCTTTTGAACTTATTTTCAGTTCACTTCAACTTAGTTCATTTTTCTATTTTTATTTAGTTTAACTCAATTAGCTCAAAAGAAGAAGGCTTAAATAAGTCAACTAGGCAAGTGGATCAATTGTTACCATTTTTTTTTCTTTTTTTGGTTATATCTGTCCTAACTACCAACTGTCAAGGAGTACTTGAATGCAAGATTAAAAATAAATTTTAAAAATACAGGCTATTCTTTGGATTGTAACATTCATCTTGCATGTGTAAGGACAGATTTAAATATTTAATACATTAGGACTTTGCAGCGTTGCAGATGATTCACCTCATTGTAATCGTTATTCTTCCTTTGTTTCCTTACAGATTGTCTTATTTGACTTTATACTATTTTAAGACACGTCTTTAAACATAAGTATATCCTATTTTGTATGCATAAAAATTTGACATTCTAAATGATATTGAAATGAGTTAACAAGATTCGACTGAATTATATTATTTTTTTTTCCTCTATATAGATTTACTGAGAGTTGATGGTCTTGACCTACAAAGTTTGCAATAGGACAATTTTGAGGGGCAAAAAGAGAATTAATTTTTAAGAGAAATCTCGCTACCGTGTATGTACTAGAAAGCTTTATAAGTTGTCTATTACACACAGCATATACTTTTACTATAATGGACTGAATATTGTTCGTGAATTTGTGACTCATTCTCTGATGAACCAACTCGTGCATTCTCTGATGTAAATTGGGGAAGAGGGATGGCATATTTTTAAAGAGCATGCATTTCAATAAAAACGATTGTATCTTTGGTGTGTACAGAGCCATTATAATCACTATATAGTGATGTAAATGAGATTCGATGTATTCATTAGGTGGTGTTGTAAACCACATTCGAACATTTGACCTTAAATCCTTATGTTTTGTGTTTGATTCCTCAAAACTTTGCCATGGTTACAATTATAATGAAATGTTTAGAAATTAGAACCATAGATGTCCATATCATTTGTTGTTATGTGTTTGTTCAAAATTAAGCCAATGCCCGAAAAAGCTGAACTAATACGGAGTAATATACTCTTGATATTGTGTTAAATTTAGCCCAACCGTACTGGGTTTGAGTGGGGGTGTGTAAATTTGTTCAAATCTAATTTCAAAGTTTTCAAATATACTAAAATAAATAACGTTACTACTATCAGTTCTATTTTTTGGTGCTTAAAGAGCCACAAAGGCGGGTGATGAAAATCAATTCTAGGATCTCCTAGAATTGGGAGGAAAACTTTAACCATTTTTGAGCTATCCCTCACTCTCTACTACTATCATTTCCGTTGTTTTTAGTTAATATGTTATGCTAATAAATTGAAAGTTGATATGTTGAAAACATAATCTATTAATGTAGCTTATTAAGTAAAACATAATCTATTCCAGTTAAATAACAGAATACTTCGTATAGCTTGGCCTCAGAAGTTTAAGACTGTTAGACTTACTATACTGAATAGGGAGGTTTAAGTACTTCGTATTTCATAGATTATTAGAGCTGTGTTGATGTATATGGTAGGCGGTAGCTGATCCAAGGCCATGCTACAACAGCTTTGTTATACACGCATGCTTTCGAAAGCTTTCACAGCAGAGTGCAGGGGGCTAGATGGAGTATACGTTGCAGTGTTGCACAAAGGTTAAAAATGTGGGTGTAGCATATGTCGTTAGCCAACCAGCGGCCTGGGGATTGCTATTGAGATACAGGAACTCGGCATTGTGTATTTTGTGTTGTTTCATTTGCCTTGACATACAAGCGTTTAGTGTTCATCATGTTTTAGCAATGGGTTTGCATTACTAAGCAAGCACATTAGCAAATCTAATAAAATTTCTGCATGTTAATCAAGTGAACTCAGGGACAATGCGAATAATTTTTTTCCCAAATTACAAGTACAGGAATACAACAATTACAACATCCGACAGATCCTGTTGCTAGCAAGCTCTTAGAAGCTATGAATGTACATCGTGCCATGCACGAGCAGAATACAATGATTGAAACAGGTAGAAGTCACTCTACACCTACAGGATTAGATTCATACCAAGCATATGCAGAATATAATCCATCATAATCTCCTGTTTTCCTGGTGTTGATGAATTGACACCATCCTTTTATCTCTTACAGGGTTGTAGTGAGTTGCTTTCAAATACAAGCTTTGTCGCTTCACAAAGATGTGTTTCTAGAGTTATTCCAATTATTTCCAGCAATTTACAGCCGATGTTACTGGGGGAGTTTTTTTTTGTTACAAATACAGGTACCTACATGACTACATGAACACTTACATCTCATGCCGCACTTGATAAATACTTCAGACCAGACCAGAAATAGATTTAGACCCTTCATAATTGTCTGGTCCAACCCTTAGATGTGACCATCTGTGATCCTTGTCCACGAGGCGAAGCAACATAGGTTGCAGCTGTCATCATGTTTTAGCTGTCTATCTTTCTCTCCGCCACCATTCTAAAACTTCACCCTGCAACATTATGTTCAAGAAAACTAATTAATTATTATGCAAGTGCAATCTTGAGCAAGAGCAACCACAGATTTTAGCATTAGCCAGAATCATAGAGTGAGATCTAAACAATACGGAGTATTAGTATTTCATCTGAACAAAAACAGCTTTCACTGGACTCCAGTGAGCAAATTATACCATCATATCAACAAAATATCTATCTATAGGACCGATAAAGTTAAGAATAGGCACATGAAAAAGGAAAAAAAAAAATCATACATAAACTTTATAAGAAGTTTTAGGGATTTTGGCACTGATCGAACTTTTGGTAGATTGAAGTTGAACATGAAAAAAAAGAACATCATTTTCTTGGGGATATATCAAAACTTTCCATGTCACATAAATCAAATTTATAGCATTTTTGCCGTAAAATAACATAATAAACAGTAAAGAGATGAATATTTACCAAAGCATCGATTCAAAAAGTGAGAACAAAAGGAGGGGCATCTTTTCTGGGTCCTGCAACAGTACGATAAACATAAACTTTACTAGCTTGAAAGTCATTGTTGACTTCGTCATCCATTATGACCTCAACATTCAACCTAGGCATTTCCTTTGCCAACAGCCTACAGGCATTCATTGTGACATTGCAAGCCGACATCCAAAGAGATCTCATAGATTCATACTTCTCCAACCCTGAAAGAAGAGCATTATTACCAAAGGGGCAATCCCTTATTTCAAGCCGTCTCAGCTTAGGACAACCAGCTAGAACACATTGCATAGCCAAGTCACTACTTCCAGCAAAAGCCACAGAAAGTGTCTCCAAGTTCTTGGCATATTTGCCAATATATTCAAATGTTAAATCAGTCAATAAACCGGACAGTGCAAGTCTTCTGAGCTTCTTACATGATTTTACCACCGAACCAAAAGCCTCATCCATAGATTCATCAGTCAAGTGGTCGGGTTCACCTGGATTCATTATACAGAGGCGGAAATGAGTAAAATCGGGGCAGTTTTTCACAATCGTTGCTACAGCGGCATTTGTCATCTGCCGACAAAAGTAGAGAACGTAGTGGAGCTTAGGGCATCCATAAGACACTGCAACAAAACCAGATTCTGTTACCCCGTAGACTACGTCAGCATCAAATGGGTTTGCAGGGAATACCCTGAGTTCCTCAAGCAAAGGGCAGCTGGACCCAACAGCTTCCAGACCTTTATCACCAACAGTGTCCAGTACCTAAAACAAAAGGATGGCAATTTTTAGAACCTAAGTACATGCAGCAAGATCAATACCAGTTCAATGTCTATACTTTAATCAGAAAAGGCATTGAGAAACTTTATATAAAAGACAAACAGTAAATATTGTTTGGATATGTAAAAGCTATCACAGAATCTTGTGAGAAAATAAATATATCTAAGAAGAGGCATAATCATAAATTACTACGGATTAGCAAGTACAGTATAGTATTATATGGCTGAATCTACAAACTTAAATTCAATCTTTACAGGATTGCAAACCTAGTCATCACTCATTTACCACACTAATTAATACTTGGTTCAGACTCAGATGTACACTATTAACAATAAGCCATTAAATCAAAAAAATTATTCCACAAATGGTTAAAGCTTCTTTCTAATGCATTTTGAACTCTGGCAATAATCTCAACTCTGCCTCGTAAAATATTAACATCTTGTATTTTTAATGTTTTCTATACTAGAAGCTTAAAAAATATAAAAAAATATAAAAAAACTATTCATGTTTAATTTTGCCAACTATAATGGCATACATATAGCAAGTATAATCAACATTCAGTCACTTTTATGCGACCATTAGTTTCATTACACTGGTATTCGATCATTTATCAAACCAATCAAATCGCAAATGTGGACATCAATGATGAAAGGCAATCCATATGACATAAGTGCATCAAAAACAATACTTTTCACAGCTTTAGAAGAACCGAGTTCATTTAAATTTAGGAGTAAATCAAGCAATGCATCCAATAAACAAAACAATGAGGAGATCATTCGAGCAAATTTATTTTGAAAGAGCGGCTGATTTGATTGTTAATCTGTGCAAGTATTAAACATCTTGTCTCACGTTAGAAAAAGGATTTAGATGCCTACCCAAAGCCGTCGGAGATTTGGACAGTTACCAAGAAGCTGAGCAAGATCATCACATTGTAAAGGTACATCGCTCAAATTCAAAAATGTTACTCCTGAGCAAGCAGGATAGAGAATAGGCAGATAGAGTGGATTAGCTTCATATAAACCAGAGATAGTTTGAAGACTGTGATAGTTGTTAAACACGCTCTCGAGACTAGAATACTGAGCTGGCTGGAGCTCCTGTGAGAAGGCACCTGTGCCTAGCTGTGTCAACCGAGGAGCATGAGTAAGCAACCTCAATAGCTGCTCCAGGTTCACATATCGGTTCACCTTTAAGACTTTTAAAGATTTACACCTAGCTATTAGTCTCTCAAGGGACGGAAAGCAGATTTCTGAATGAAGATTGGAGAAATTTAGAATTTCCAATGAAGTAAAGTTTTCAGGAAAGCAACTCAACCAACAGCCACTGCGGTCATCAATTCCATTTTCCTGAATGTCGAGCTCAACTAAGTTCCTGGAAAAATAAAAACGTTACAATTTGATTAAAATGCTATGCCATGCTGAATTTTAGAAAGACAGCTGAGGAGTACACACTTGAGCAGACAAGGTGAAAATTTACTACAAATCAAAACTGAGGGAAAAATATATACATAAAAAAAAAAAAAAAAAAAAAAAAAAAAAAGCATGAAACTCTGAAAGCCAAACACCCTAGGCAACTAATATTTGCAGCAATTCATCCACAGGAGTATAGGACTATGGAGTAGTCTTGTGGCCCTAGTCGATGCCGTAAACACAATAAAAGATGGAAAATATAGAGCACACAGGCACTCAAATAAGGGACAACAGGCCACATATTTGGTAATGTTATCAGGATTCAGGACTATCACTACAAAGTCCTCTAATGAGAAGCTGAAATGGCTAGGTGTAAGACATTTTTCAATCAAGAATCAACAATCAAATGCTAACAAGAATAAATAGGAACATTAGGTTTCACATGTCAGGAATTTTTCATTTCTGCTTTCTTGTAGAGTTTTATACATAAGCTAGGTGAAGTGCCAAAAG